CAAAGCAGATTACCTAGTGAGCAAACAAAATACTTTTGGTGAACAGTTTTCTTAGTGGAAGAGTTAATTTTTATTGACTCTTTGTGAAACTACCCCGCCTTCATAAATAAAACAGTTTTCCTATGATAAATGGTTCTGGACAGAAGCAAGGTGCAAGTTTATTTGAGAAAATAACTTCTGGGGATCTGCACCATTTTTAGCTCATCTAATGATGTTTTGGTCAGAAATATTCAGTTGTTATTTACAAAGCTGAGGAAGTTGCAGGCAGAGTAAAAATCCCTTAGGGTTTTTAGGTGGTAAGTATACATGAATGCGGAATCTGTCTTACAGGTTTTTAAAAATAATTTATATATTTACTTGAGTTTGAGCTTGAAAGATAACTCTGGTGGGTCATCAGATGTCATCCCTCCTCATCATGCAAGATTTGTTTAAACTGCACAAGTACTATCCTTCATAGATGAGTGTCAAGCATAGTTTTGTGTCCTGCATTCTAATACATGTACTCCCAGTCCACGAAGTTTAGCATGCCTGAAGAAGTTGTTGTCTTCAAGTACACGTTGGCTTATTGTGAGTTTTCTCCTACATTTGTAACCTCCTGCTGTAGTCCAGGCCTGCTATTTCTGAAATGCAAGGAGCAGGAATATTGACACAGCCACCAACATGGTGGTTCTGGGGGACTGGGAGACTGAATTTCATTCCTGTGTGTCTTCAAAGAGTTTTAGTGAACTTTGGCAATTCACATAATAACTCTTTGTGTCCAGAACTCTTGTGGGATGAGAAGAGGATCACTGCCCTGGCTAGAAGCAGTTCTTCACCATGTGTACAATAAAGATTTAATACCATTTAGATTCTGAAACAAAGATGCCGTATAAGAACCTAAGACACAGCACTGTCATTTGTAATTTGCATCAGCAAAACAGAAACAGTGATCACCAAAGTGTTTTATTCAAATACGTTATATTTGGTTTGAACCCAGAATCCTGAGCATGGATGCCTTGTATCATTAGACTGAAAATATTTTGTAAAATGACCCAATCCTAAAGTTCTTAGCCAGAATTGCCCTTAACTTCAACATTAGTTTGCTAGAAAAAAGCTTAGATAAAAAGTTCAGGAATTGTTCCAGTAAATAACGACTGAAAACAACCTTGTTTACTCCTCATTCCTGTGTTCAGCATGTATCTGAGAAGGAAATAAATCTGCTGTGCACCCCAGGGTAAAGTATATTAATCAACCAGTTATCTTGTTAAGGGAAAATAAATGACTTGTTGTGCTGACTGAATACATTGCAGCGCACAGACTTTGCAGTGCTGTAGCAATCCGATACTGACTGTCAGCCATCCAGAATCTGCCAGAGAAGCTGAAACACTGCAGGAGTGCAGCAGCAGTGTGGCAGTACATTCACAACCCCATATTCTATAGGGTGGCCCAGAGCTAGAGGTACATCTTTAGTATTCACCCTTTGGCAGGTGTTCTTGTGCTAAGATAAGGCTGTTCTGCTCTTCCCTCAGCAGCAAGATATGGACAATCTACAGCATCACAGTCAATGACGGATTATGATCTTGTATGACAGCTGTATCAACAGCAACCCCCCGCAAAAAAAAAAAGTAATTCCATAAGGACAGACTAGTTCTGTTTTATTCCAGTTCTGTTATTTTCATTCTTACTGTGAATGGTGCTGTTGTTGAGGGAATACAGGCAGAAAGATGCTGCAGCTGTTAGAGAAAGGCAGGCAGAGTCACTGTGGCTGGTTGGGTTTTTTAGAAGGCTGGCTTAAAATGGTACATAGAAGGACACAATCAGGTGTAGAAAGAATCCCATTTCTCCACTTTTCTCTTGAGACATCCAGAAATGTGCTGCTGAGTGCACAGGAGACATGAACCTCAGGAGGGAGAGTCTCTATCAAGTGGGGTGCATCAGTCAGCCAAGTGCTGCACCTCTTGGAGGCTCAGAGCTCAAGGCTTCCCATGCCTGTCTAAGCAGATACAGCTGTAATCTTAAGCAGGGGACGGGACACTTGAGCACAGCAGTTGTCTTTACATGGACATTAGGATTCACTGTCTTTCCCCTTCCTTTAGTCCTGTTTCTGTTTCTTTGAATTTTAAGAAGCAGGCAAGGGGAGCTGAAACAGAACTCCTTGAAGAATAGCAGAGACTCAGCTCTAATTACAGTGAGTTTGAAGGAAGCCATGCATTAAAACATTCATGATTTCAGAATTGCTATGTGTGTTTCTTAGATGTACTGTTATTTCTTAATAGGTTCCAAAGTGGAACAGGAGAACAGTCTTTCTTCCCTGAGGTATTTGACATATGCAGGGGAACTCTGCTGTCCTGTCAAAAAGATGTATGTAGGCTTTACTGCCTTGTTAGACAGGTATTGTAGATTTAAGTGGTGGCTTGACTTTGAGACAGCTGTTCAGAGGTAGCAATTCCAGAACACCAAAGGACTTGAAGCAAAGTACTCTCATCTTTCAGAGAAATCTAAAGATCTAAGTCAAGCAGGTGACTAAAGAGATGTAGGTACCTAACTTAAAAATAGATATTTCTAGAAGGAGCTCTGCAATCTCTCTGACCCTTTGAGGTCATCTCTCAGATCAGTCTGAAGTGGAACAGAAGCTAGGTCTACTGGGAATCCTCACCCCAAGCTATCACCTGCAGCTAATTATCAACAGAGCTGTGATAATTCTTTGATTCATCTAAAATTTTAAAAATCGAAATGGCTATTGAATAGCTGAAATACATGCTGTTACACTGACAATAAAATACAGAGGTTTTTAAGTCAAATAGTCTAGATCTGAAGAAGAGACTTTGGGTTTTTTTTTTTTAGAATCCTGCATAATGCAATTATTATACAGTAAAAGGTTCCCCATGATTTGCTTTGTAGACTTATTCACTTAGAATATTTAGAAACCTTGTTGATAAGATTTGTATCAACCTCTGATCTCCTCCGGGTCACTTGAAGACAAAGTGCTACTAGAATACAAAACAAAAGTCTGTTTAGAGCTCTCTTCATCCCAGCTGTCAAGCTGCAGGCACTGTGAAAATAGTTGGAATATTTACATCTATCTGCATCATGTCAGGGGTAATTCTCACCTTCAAGGAACAGCTCTCTTTCATGTGCGTATGTGTGTGTATTTCTGCTCACACATATAGAATAAGAGATAATTAATTGATAATATTCTGCAATGTAAAGTAGAAATACTGTGATTAAATGAGCTACTCTGATTAATTATTTTATAAATTCTTGTGTAATGTCAATAGTAAAAAGGGTACTGTAGCTGTTACTCCAGCAAGACACATCCATGCCATTTTCTTTGGATAGATTCTTAACCTTGTGTCTCAGAGTTCAGAAGCTGAAAGGAGTATATGTATTTATTTGTTCATTGGAAAAAATACTGTTTTCCTACACCCTTATTAGGGAAGATCTGATAGTAACAGTTTCTAGCAATAATAATAAAAATAAGTTGCAGCTGCACTCCAGGTGGAAATGTTCATACTTTGTTGTTTGTGGAAGATGGTGATACTGCAGCATTCAGCTGTTGCTGTTGCAAAAAGCCAAGGGTGAAGACCTTACAAGGTGATCCAAGGTTTCTTTCCTCTCTCATTAAGCTGTTTTGAAAATGCCAGTCAATTTGGTGTAGTTTGCTCTCTGCCAAGGAAACAGAACTGCTCTTGAGAAGCATTATTATCAACTGGAGAAATAAGTCACAAGACAAGTGTGAGTAGTGCAGATTTCACCAAAGATGAGACTATCCCAGCCTTTCCTTCAAGCAGGTGGTTTTCACAGGAAAACCCAAAACATCTAACACAGTGTTAGTGCTGCCTCAATGTCATCCTCTTTCAAACATAATTTATCCAATAAGAAACCTCACACTGGTGAGAGATTAAGAAGTGTCTAGGTGATAATGAAAACAGGAGCTGTTCTAGGGAACTGCATCCTTGCAAGGGTGTTTGCTGATGGATGTGGAATAGACAGGAAAGAGCAGAAGACAGTGTTTACAGAGAAAGTTTATACTGCACATTTCTCATAGTGCTGGAGGCAACTTTCTTCTGGTATTATAAGATATCTGAAGGTCACCATATGCTAATTTTTTTCTTTACCTCATAAAACTTTTAAAGATAGATGTCTTGAGCCAACAGCTACTGCTAGGTGTACACAACAACACATTGCTTATACAGCTAAAATGACTGACTAGATATGTATGTCTGTGTATGTGTATAATCCAGATTTCTGTGTCCTGTTTAACACTTATGAAGAGGAATCACCATCCCTAAGGATGCTCTGCTGCTGCCTGGCATTGTAAACAAAATGCCTTTGGAGTCCAGCACAGCCCTGACATTTTGGTTATAGTGCCAATAAACAAGAAATCCCCCATGGCACCTTGACTGCCTTCTTATCCCCACCAAAGCCATGAGGAACTATAGAGTGTTTGCATGGTTACTGTATTGCCTTCTCCCCTCACTAATTAGAGTTTTTTTTTTTTTTAGGTTGAATGTTTTAGGGACTGCTGCCATACACTACATTGCACATTTTTGCACTACATCTTTATCTTCTTGAGTTTTTTCTTTAGCTCAGTTGCTGGAGACAGGAACTGGCATAAGTAAAATTTACTGTGGTGCAAAGTCTTTTGGACATTTTTGTGTGGTTTTTTTTTCTATGTTTTTTTGTTTGTTTGTATTGTTTTTATTTTATTTTTTTTTTCTTTAGTAGTTCATGTGATAGAAAGCTTTTGGTGCATGATAGGATTTTTGTGGGTCTGGTGGAGAAGGCTCTTGTGGTGCTGATATGCCATGTACATTTGTTGAATTATTTATTTGGAAAGAACTGATAAAAATGAAGACTCTGCGACTGCAGGGCCTATTTCTGCTGTTAAATCATCTTCATTGAATGTATGGTCATTCATCATCTCCGGTTCAGGATAAAACCCTGGGGTAACTAACAAAATGTGCTGTTTCCTGGTGTCATGGTGAGGGACAGGATGACACAAAATGGGGTCACATCTTTAGAGCTGTATTCCAGCCTGGGACTGGTGAATGCTTCCCACTCCCTGTCAGTGGCTGTGAATGCCTTGCTGTCACTTTGGGAATGTGTCTGATGGACCTGATGGTCCTTCTCACATGGAAAAGCAAATGGTGCTGTGCTGCTCAGCAGCAATATCTTCTTTTGAAGTGGGACTTGGCTGGAAAAAGTGATTCTTCTTGAAGATGGAGCCAACTCCTGACCACCTGATCCTGGACAATCAACTGAAGTTTGCCAAATGCTAGCCAGTCTTCTGCAGAAGAAAATATTTTTTTCTCAATTTGCTGTATATCAAGCAGGCCAGGAGATCTACAGAATATGTCAGAGACAGCACCTAGTTAAATTTAGGGGAAAGAACCACTTACTTCCCCACCCTCCCTCTCCAAATTAATGGGTGAGAGACTTAGGGATGAAGAAAATTACTGTCATGGCTGGGCCTACAGACAAATCTGTGAGCTCCTCAGAGATCCCCTGGGAAACAAATCCAAGGCAGGAAGGGCTATTCTAAAAATAATGTGTCATTTTATTTGCAGAATTTTTATAGCAGGTATTCACAGAGGTCCTGAAATTCTCTTTGGAATGCCTGAAATTTAACTGTAGTCCTCAGTCTGAGTGTCCCAGCATGCCCTACATACACAAAATGAATGTGCCATCATCTTTCCACCATCATCTTGGCTTAGTTTGCGTCATAGACCACTGAAGCTTGTTGATGTTATGGGCTCAGTCCTACAGTCACACATCTGCTGAATTCCTAGGGAATTTTGTGGTGGAGGGATCCAGTAAAAAGCTTCGTTACTGGCCCAGACCAGATCTGATCACAGGTACTTTACTCTTACCAGTGGAGGCTTAACAGCATGGATTTACAGAGATTTGATGGCTCTGCCTTCACCTCAGGAAGAAGAGTTGTGCCTCACTGTGACTCTAAGTTCCTTGATATAAAAACTTCACAACTGTAGTAAAATGTGTGTTTTTTTGGAGGCCTGGTGTGAGGATGGAGGGAAATGTGAGGGGAGGCAGTTTGGGACGAGCCAAAGAAACCCAGTCATAATGGATTGACCTAATCTATTACAGAAAACAAAGTTTTTCTTTATGAATTTGTGCTGATATTTTTTTCTTGGTCATTTCTGATTTCTTATGTGTAGAGATGGAAGCACCTGCCAATGTACCTTGTGACTCACATAGATTTACTCTTGTGGTTGGTGTTTTTAAATGAATTGAAATTAATTTATTTCTTTTTAATTTAGTTTTTGGATCCTGGGGTAAAATTTCAGAAATTAAAAAAATGCCAACCTGTGAATACAAGCTTCTGCTGAGGAGGAAAGAAGTATCCAGGGTTTCCTTTTAATATTTTGCTGACATACGGTGCTTCTAACCCACTGACAAATTAATTGACTAGATGTAAAAGAGATGGACAGTGCTTAGCAAGGAAGGACAAGATATGCATTATAAGACATCTGGTTCTGCCTCTGTTGGATTATGGATACAATATATATTGGACACCTAATGAGTCTCTGCTGCATAAAATAGATTCTCCTTACAATAGAATTGCATGCTTTGTCTCTAAATGAGGTTATTATACACACCATTGCACAGTGTTTGAAGCGCTTGGTTGGCTGTTCTAGAGGGTAGGGAGAGAAAAAAATGGAAAACAATTGCACTTAAGACCTTCAATCCATCAGTTGCCCCATATTTATCCAAATTACCATTACACTATTACAAAATACAAATATATGATACATTCAGGGTTGAAATGTTAATATTGACTGGCCAGATTTTAACAAGGTGGATTTTTCTTTTGCAGTTGTTTTTACCTTGCAGTAAAATCTTACTTCTTCAGAAAGAAAAGTTGGTAGTGGGAATACCACTATGAAGTGGAATAATAACTCTTTATTCAGACTGAATTATCAATTTAGTATTTGCTGCATGCAAACCTCAGTCAGACTCTCAGGAGGTTTTGATTCTTCCAGAGATAAGCTGTGAACAATTTAATTTATAAGGAATTGTTCCTCAGCAATCTGAAGAGTTTAAGGACAATGCTTGCAAAAGTAAGGCATGATTTGAAGTGATTCCATTTTCAGGTCCCAACTTGTGACCATTGTAGTGCATAGTTTTCAGAAAATGATGAGGTCTAAAAACTCCAGACTCCTTATGCTCTTGAACACTTGACACCTAAAATTTTACATCTTCAAAATAGCAAACCACTTCTGCAAACCCTGGCTCAACCACTGAGAAAGACCAAATGTAGCAGTTTGAGATGATGTGATGGCACCATTTTCCACATCAACAGACAGATTCTGTGGTAAGAGTTGTAGAGAGACCTTATAAAAAATACAGTTAAAGGGGGCTTTGCCAAATCCAGTGTAAATAATCACGTAGCCTACCTTCTTCTTGGGGTTTTTGTCTTCCTCAGTTAAATTTTTTGTCTGCTAGTCTTCTTTTAAATTCCAGTTTTCAATGTACCTGAAAAGGAAATGATCTTACTAAATAATACTATTTAATGATCTTAGTTTTCCAGGGTAGATAGTAAAACTATTGTAATGTGCAAAACTATAAAGGTGGCTTTTTTCAGAGCTTTATTCCTCAGACTAAAAACAAGTACACTCTCAAAACACAGCTGAAAGCAGCATTTCAGTGCAGAAAGCTGTAAGTGGGTCCATGGTGTGGTTTCTTTTCAGGCATGGCAATATCCAACTCCCACAAGTATTACTGTTCCAACATAAAGGACAAGAACACGCATGACAAAAATTACTTGGTAATTGTGCTAGCTATAATTGTTGCCGTTTATAATTTCTTTCCCTTTCCCAGAGCCCCTGCAGTTAAACCGAAAGGTTATATATATATAAATATCTGTGTGTGTGTGTGTACATGTGCTTTGCAGGATTTTCTTTGAAGGAAGTAACTCTTTTGTACAGTCCTTTGCTGACATTTCTATAGCCAGCTCACATCCTGTTGGGTGAAGCTGTGCTCCTTAATGTAAGGCAATGTGACTCATAAGAAGAAAGATTGCAATAAGCACAGTTTCTACTGATTAATTTCCCAGCCCTGGATACTCTTCCAGTAAGTGCTGAGGCAGAGAATGCTTGCTGGTGATGGTGTTTAAGAGCATTTCATTCATGGTTTGAAGTAGCTGGATATTTATCTTAATGAGCTCTCTCATTGCTATCACAACAACTTTAAACACCTTATGGCTAGTGAGGAAAGCCTGACACCCAGGCAGATTTGTTTCTCCAAATACCTTCCTGACTGAGTTGCAATTTTCAGTGAGGTTGATTTCCTCTCAGGCTGTGCTGCTGTATTAGGAATTTAATGAGAGCTCCACCTCTTGTCCCTTCGTTAGGAAAAGGAGAAGCTGTATGTGGAGCTGAGGCACGTACTGGCCCGGCAGCCTGGGCCCGAGGCCACGGAGCAGCTGCAGCAGTACCGGAACATCCTCCGCGAGAAGACCAAGCAGATCAAAGTAAGAGGTGCCCCTGTCCCTGGGCAGGGAGAGCCTCAGAGAGCTGTGTGCCTGCCCGAGTGCATTAGTCCAGGAAAGCAGGGTTATCACTGCTGTCCTCAAGGGACAACACAGAGCAGTAAATGAACTTTTTTTTTTGCACATTATGCTACTTTGTTTAATTAAAATAGAGGAAAAGTCTTATTACAATATGAGTTATCAGCACAATGCTGTAAATATGTTTTTTGCATGGGCATTCTGGAATACTGCCAGCTTTTCATTCAGCTTATTCTCCTTCCCTTTATCGTAAACTGTTAATATCTTTAAGAAGCAAATCAAAGCCATTTTGTTTTCTTTTTAACACACTAGTGGGAATATACTGAGAATCCAGTCTTAAGTTACTGATACTTCACTTGCCATGTGTATGTGTATATTTAGATTTGCAGATTTTGTGGAGTTGACAAGAGGAGCCTGTTCTAACCCCTTGTCAGTTGGAGGGAGGAGTTCCTGCTTCCAAAAGTATCTTGTAGAAAATTTTAAAAGCATAATATTAAAAAGTGATTCTTTGATAGAATTCTATGATATTCTATGAATAAGCTGATCTTCTGTTCTTGCCTGCATGAGAGATCAGTCTCCCCAGGAGTTCATCTACTTCTGCAGCTCCTCTCTCTGTTGAAGTCATCATCTCCTGTTCACTGCATCATAATCACGTCTATACTAACCACGAGGAAAAAAATGCAGGAGCAGATGGGCCCTTAGGAAACAAAGAGGCTGTTATGCAAATCTTAGCTTTCCATGGAGAAGAAAAACAATGTAGAAAATGTAAAATAGAAGCCAGAGTTTAGCTAAACTGAATGTGATTTGAAGTTCTGCACATGGTCCTTATTTGTCCTTAATGCAGTCAGTTGCTGCTTTGTATTTCAGGCACAGCATGATGGCATGCATGCCATTTTGGGGTGCCAGGTCAAGCTATTACCCTTTTGAAAGAAAGAAGGTGCACTATGCATGCTTCTCTGTTTTTAAAATTTTGCTGATTCACATATAAGTGGCTTTGTATTCATATTTGCAGTGCCTTATACTACTTTTCTGTGTGGACTGAATTACTCCACTTAGCAGTGCATCCCTGTGAATAAACCCCATTATTATAAAATAATTCCCTGATTTATTAAGACCTTAACTTTGGATTTTTGCCCAGCTTTATGTCCCAGAAATTAAGAGCTAATGTATCTATTACTGCCATTCCCGTAAAGCTTGGAGCATTGTATTATGGTTAAATGGCATAACCTTTATTTTGTAAGATGTTTTTAGGTGAACAGAGGTGAAATCAAATGAAACATCAAGTGGAAAAAGAATTGTGGTAGAAAATGATCATGTCTTACATCATCAAATATAAAAGGAGAAAGTGCTTGTAAAAATACTCAATTATGTGTAAGTGAAGCAACATCTCCTGTTTCTGCTGTTTGTGTTTTGTTTATTAGGCTTTGTCCTCAGAACTGAGCATGTGTGAAACGCAGAGCAAAGAATACAAAAATGAAATTGAAAGACTTAACAATGAGCTTCTGGAAGTGAAAAAGAAATATCTTTCTCAGAAACGCAAGGAGCAACAGAAGAAGTATGGGAAAACAACAGTTTTGTCTACACAACTTTCTGCATAAGCTAGATTTTTGGTTTAGACCCTTTGGATCAGAATGTGGCCAAATTTGACTGAGGTGATACAGTTTCGTTGCCTAATTTTCCTGAATGTTATCCTCCATGTTCCTTCAGTCTGGTCTATGGCCAGGACAAGAACATCCATCAGAGATGTTGCTGAACACATTCTGCAGTCCAGTTAAATTATTCATCCCAATGAGATGGTGCCCAAAGAACACAGATTAGTGTCTTGTCTCTGACATCAAAGCATAGAATTATAGAGCAGTTTGGTTTGGAAGGGACATTTAAAGGCCATCTAGTCCAACCCCCCTGCAATGAGCAGGGACATCTCCATCCAGATGAGGTGCTCAGAGCCCCAGTCTGACCTTGAATATTTCTGGGATGGGGTATCTTCCACCTCTCTGGGCAACTTGGGCCAGTCTTTCACCACCCTCATAACAGAAAATTTCCTTCTTATATCTAGTCTAAATCTACCTTCCTTTAATTAAAACCCCTTATCCCCTATCCTATTGCAGCAGGATTTCTGGGGTGTGAGTGCACATGGCTGGCTCATGTCACCCACAGCACTCCCAGGTCCTTCTGGGCAGGGCTGCTTTCCATCTGCTCATCCCCCAGCCTGGATTGATGCCAGGGCTTGCCCTGACTCAGGTGCAGCAACTCACACTTGGTCTCGTGGACCCCCAAGAGATTCCATGGGCCCACTTCCTGAGCTTATCCAGGTACCTCTGGATAGTATCCCATCCCTCAGGTGAGTCAGCTGCCCCATTCAGCTCATCATCTGAAAACTTGCTGAGGGTGGGCATTACTTTTAACAAGAGATTTCTTAGATTTCTGCTGTGAGATGATGTGATCTGTTACCAAGTTTTCTGTATGCACAGAAAACCTTTTGTCTTTCCACTCATTTCCATCCTCAGCCTGTGCCTTCCTCACACACTAAAGCCAATGGTTCTCTTCTACTGCTGAATGTAATTCAAAGTTGCCTTTATCAATTCTTCTTTAATTTCAGACAACAAATGATTTGATGACTAAATTAGCAAAATAATCAGTGATAAACAGTGACTTTTGTCCATCTGCAAATTGCATAATGTTACCTTAATGTTTGGAATTACCAACAATTTTTCAATGCTAATGGCCTTTCTTGAGCTTTAGGATCAATATGTGAGTTTACCATAATGCCTGATAATCCATTTCCAGCAGCTAAGTGTCTCCTTCACAGTAGATTTGATATTTCTATTTTGGATTGTGGCATCACGTCTCTTTCTGTTCATAAAATGAGAAGTTAACCCACATTTTATTGTTATATCTTACCTAGAATTAATTTCTGTCATAAAAACTCCACTTGTTAAGGACATAATTGCTTTAAAATAAAAAATACTGAGTAAGTTGATGGTGGCTGAACAGGGGCATGCTATACAGTGAAAGGAATTTCATATTGAAAGTCATTTAGTGCTGGATACACTGTTTATAGGACCAGGATAGATACCTGCCGCTGATGCCACTGTAGTCTGTTGAGTATTGGTGTCTTTGTGACATCTGTGTTTTGGAAGCACATTCAGGTGCTGTTAGTGGTGCTTCTGCAGGCTGGCATCATCTTGTGGCCCCCACCACAGCCTCAGCAGGCACCAGCCAGCCCTGGCTTGCACCTCTCTCATTTTGTGGCAGGCAAGGCGTGCTGCTGGGCTTTGCTCTCCTCTGCCCCTCATTGCTTTGTACCCCAGTCAAGCCTGTTGGGGTGCATCCTGCTTTGAAGCACCCAGAGGCATAACTGGGCATGTCAGCCCTGGGTAACTGCAACTTCTGCTGTTTCTAGGCTGTGCTTTGTGTTGGCAAGGGAAAACAACCTTGTGCAGCCCTCCTTCTCCAGCCTCCCAGGTGTGCAAGACACATTGCTGGCTTTCTGCACAGAGAGAACCTGTTGTGCAGTCAGGTTCTTCCCCAAAGAGTTCTCTTCCCTGCCATCCAGCCATCCCACACCCCTGCTGCTTCAGGCAGGGCTGGACAGGCTGTGCCTGCTGTGTGGATGCTGGCCAAAGAGCCAGAGCCTTTTGATTCATACAATCTCAGATATCTCTAAATCCCAACTGACAGAAAACCACTGGCTTGATTCTCTGTCTTGCTGGCTAATGTTAACATCATGTCTGAAATAAATGTAGCTGGTTTTGCTAATAAAAAGAGGATCCTCTCAGGACAATAGTATCAACACCATTATTGACTACCCTAGTATGAAAGAGAATTAATACTCCCAGATAACCTTACACAAAGTTATCATCTAAAGCTTTTATTGATTTGCACAAGATAGCTTTGAGTTGTGATTTAACACTGTGGTACTGAATAAATGCAGCTTTGTATGTGATGCTGAAGGAATATAGTGGCAGCAGGAATTTAGCTTTGTTTTGCGTTAAAAATGAAAATTCAGTGTTTAAGATTTTGGTTGTGAATTTGAAATCTTCTTTTTCAGCTCTCTGATTCTGAATGTTGCTTTTCCCAGTTGTCTTAGCTGTTCTTGTTCTATCTCTTCCTATTTTTAACTTCAGTTTCTTGAACCCTTTCTGCATCACTATTTTCCTAGTTGTTTCTAGCACCAGGATCCCATTTTGATCTTGATAAGGATTTGTGAGAAAATATGAAGCTTAAATCCACACCAGAGACCTAATCCAGCAGTCCTATATATGTAAATAACTGCACTGAGTGATGTCAATAGTATCTGGGAGCTTTTGCACGTGGCTGGTTGCACATTAATTCTGCATAGTATATTATAGTATTTAGTTGCATAGAATTTTCCATACTGATGAGCACATCTGTTTGTTGTCTCCATGGGAGCATGAGGAAAAAATGAGCATGGATTCTGGATCATTTTCTCTCTCCAGACTCAGAAGCCCAATAGTGAGATGAGATAAGCTATCTAAATACCGAATGTCAGTTACTAGTGCTGTCAGCTGGCATATCCATTAGGGCTACATTGATACAACTAAAACCAGTTATAAATGGTTTTTGTTGTTAAATTCATCTGTGCCATCTTTTGGCTATTCTCCTACCTCTGTATGGGTCAAATTTGGAAAAGGATGCATAACTAGACATCTGACACGCTTTCTCTGAACTTCTTCCTATCCTGACAGTTATTTAGGGGCAAACAGAAAAGTAATAATTACAGAAGTGTTTTCTTTTCCCATAGTGGGGACTCAGCAAAGATACTCATGTGACAAAGGCTAGATTTTGTGTCTCAGTCTCAGTGACTGTGAAAGAAACTAATGGTACTGACCTTCTTTGTAAAGCCTTGAGAATTCTGCTGTTATGATAAACCAGAAGTTCATAAATCTCCACTTGGTTAATTTTAAGTATCTCAGGGACCTTTCTCTGAAGCATCCAGGTATTATCACAGTGAGGTTGGAGTATTGCCCTTCATATTTGTAGTGCTCTGCTTACCTCCCCAGCTTTGTGAGAGTGGAGCCAGCTAACACTCGTTCTCTCCTCTTGAGGCCATCAAAGTCAAGACCTTCTGGATTCTCAGACAGAGCAACTCCCTGGGGCTGTCAGGGCACCTACAGCACACTGAGAGTTTTCTGCAAATGTCACAGACAGGGCAATTATCACTGGAACTTTGTTAAAATGTGAAGACAGATAGCACTATATATTCATTAAAATTCAACAAAGGACCAAAACCTCCCCATTGTGCCTTTGATGGATGTAGCTGTTTGTTTGAAAACAGGCATATTCCAGCTGGAACAGGATGGTGATTAGAAATCTGAAGTCATGGAGCTCATGTATGTACTTGCTGTAATGAGGTGCTCTGACCGTTTTGGGTAGTAGCACAAAGAAAGCTCATTTATTTCTAATTTTTAATAATTCCAAACCCCATCAGTAATTTTGTAATTAGAACCAAACAGACACCTAGTCTTGGAAGTTCAGCTTAACAGGCTTTAATCAACGCTTTTAAAATGATTCTTGATACATGGTTGCATCAAAGAAACTCTGAAGGACACAGATTTCCTTAGTTTGTAAACATCTCTGGGCTGCAGAATGAAATATGAATTTTCTGTTTCTTTGTTTCTATTTAAAGGGAGAAGGAGCAATCCAGCATTGATATGAGGACAAGATTACCACCCCTCAGGACTGATGTACCTCACTTCAACACAGGGGGCTTTCCTTCAAGCAAATCCATTCCCAAAATTGCAGTCTAGGAATGCACTCATCTAGTTGCCTTTCTGTTCCCAGTTTCGTGTTTGAGAAACTGTGAGAATCTACTGAAATCACTGTATCACCTTCAGGAAAAAATTGTACATTGTATATAATAAAACACATTTTTACACTGGAATTGCATTTTATATTGCATGTACATATTTTACATTTTATATTGGAATTAACATAGTTCTTTTTACAAACTGTGTACCAAATCTGCCCATTTGATGCCAGCAGATGCCTGCACGGATGTAAATGGATAGTGGAGATAGTTATTCTTCAATATTGTGTCTCTATTTAGCACTGTAACACCACAAAATGCCTTAATATGTAGTTATTTCTATGGAGCACACACTCCATTTATCTTCTGACTCAAAACACCTGAAAGAAATGAGAATACAGAAAAGAAGAAAAATTAATAGGCTGATGTTTCAAGCCCTGCTGAGCAAATGCAAAATTAACAAGTTTTTCCTTGGATGTACATATGTAGCAGTTCTCTGTGTAGGTAGTGTATAATAGGGTTTATGCAGTGTTTGCTACAGTTGTTAGGAAGATCAAGGCAGTTTGTGGCCACGATGTACATTATTAAGAGCATCATTGTGTTTACTCTGGTAGATAAAAAGTGACATAATTATGTCTGTTCAATTTGGGGGGACTGTGCACACTTGCTGGGACATGCTGTTCTGCCACACAAATTCTTTTGAGTGATTAAAACTTGGACTCAAAACATGGCAAACTTTATGCTTTAATTTCTAGACACTTGGGCATTTTTGTAACTTTTAGAAATTGTTTTTGTAATACAGCAGGAGCTCTCCAACCTTTTCAGCCAAAAGAGATTTAATTACCATTCATTAACAAGTGAAATAACAAAGTCACGGCATGAGGTGCTGAAGTATATAAAACTTTCAAGCTGTAAAATAAAATGTTTTGAAACCGATTTGAACGTGGAAGTTTTTTTCCGTGCCTGGGGGATAAAAATACTTGTCCAAAGAGATATGCTGATAAATATTTCACATCCAGAAAAAAAAAACAAACCCAAAAAACCCTTTGCAAAGATTTTGTTCTTTTCTTTGGTGGAATACATAATTAAATATTAAAGCTACTGTGGGAAACTTTAATGGAAGTGTTTAATTCAAAAGAATCAAGTTAAATACGACAGGGATCTACTTTGCTTTTACACTGGGGACCAGAACACTTAGTCATCAGATCCATTGTATTTTCTTTTGTCCCCAAAATAGCTATTATTGCTTTTCTCATTGTCAAGTGCATTATGCTAAAGTTATCATTTTAGGGCAGTCATGCTGTCAGAATAGTGTCTTTTGTGTATCTGAAATGTCCTTATAGGTGGAATAATTGACAATAATTGACATGGGCACTTGAGTCTGATGGAATCCCAAGTAGGTTTTATTGAAGCTCTTAGAAGTTGGTATTTGCTAAGGTCCTGAGTATCCTGCCTGGAGCTGGATTCTGCTGTGCTTACACTGGCAAGTAATTTGTATTGAAATAAATCATCAAAGATGCATTTATTAATTCACATGAACTAGAGGCACAGTTGGACTCCAAGAACCCTGTCACTCTGTAGAGAAACTGCTGATGTATTACACTCCAAAATGTACAGTGTACCCCCTAACTCATCCAGAGAAAATCCGAGACTGTGTACATCTCCCACAGAATCACAGAATCATTTAGGTTGGAAAAGACCCCCAGGATCATCCAGTCCCACCTTTGGCTGAACACCAGCATGTCAGCTAAACCAGGGCACCAGGTGTAACGTCCTGTGGTTTCTTGAACAACTCTTGAGCAGGTGGTGGCTCCACCACCTCCCTGGGCAGCCTGTTCAGTGCTTAACCACCCTTTCCATAAAGAAATTCTTCCTGGTGTCCAACCTGAGCCTCCCATGGAACAGCTTGAGGCTGTATCCTCTTGTCCTGTCACTTGTTACCTGGGAGAAGAGGCTGAGCCCCAGCCTCTGTCAGGTACAACTCCTTTAAGGTAGCTGGAGAATGATAAGGTCATCCTGAGCCTTCTTTTCTCCAGGCTTAGCCCCCCCAGCTCCTTCAGCAGCTCATGACAGAACTCTCTAGACCTTTCCCCAGCTCCATTATCCTTCTCTGAACACACTCCAGCCCCTCAATGTCTTTCTTGGGGTGAGGGACCCAGAACTGGACACAGCACTTGAGGAGTGGCCTCACCAGTGTGATCTCACTTTATTTATATTTGTTACCAGGGTTTAGGAGACAAATTGTCTCAGTGGTCTGGGGAAAGGAGGGGAAGCCAAGCAGATGGAATTTGTTCCTTACTTTCATATATTTTTATGAGTACAGTAGTAAAACAGATACTTTTCTGTCTTTAGTTGTACTTCATAGTAGCTTCTACTGCACGAGTAAGAAGCTTTTCTGTAAATTATTCTTGACCTAAGTTTTTCCTGTCTTTAAAATGGTTGGGATGGTATTTGTCTAAAGACTTGCAAAGGTAAATTCACTTACCTTGAAAAGGTGGCTAGTCTTCTAGATTAAACAAAAAATGTAGGGGACTGCAAAATAATGTGATTTTTCATACAACATGTTATTCCAGCCTAAAGAGCTAGGAATTGAATACAGTATATTTCACCTACAAAGTAAAGAAGCTTTTACTTGTTCATCCACAATTTCAGGCATCAAGATGTGAATGTGTTGGCTACTATCTTCAGTTTTATTGCATTATTTACTTATTACCACGGAAACCAAATTCACAGGTTAATTTGGAAAATAAGAAAAAAAATGACAAGAAAATATAGTCATCAAATTATTGCCAGTAAGTTTCAGCATAATCAGGAATAGAATAACTGCAGCCAGTTTAATTTGTAGTGCTAGAGAGTGAAAACCATTTCTGAGTTCATATAATAGAACGGATTAAAGCACACCAAATCCCTTCCCCCCTGGTCTATAAAAGTCAGGGAGCTTGAAAAATTGCTCTGGATGTCTGTGAACCCAGCTGATGCTGAGGTGCTTTTAGTGCTCAAGGATTTGGCTTGCGCAGCAGGGAAAGGCAGAGCGCTAATGAGAATATCATTTGTTCACTTGCTTCTGCATTGTGAGCAGCAGCTCTGAAGTGCTTCTCTAAGTTTTGTTGCAGAAAAATGTTAATTGAATTCCAGTCTGTGCAAGATGTAGCAAGTATATCTTTAACTTCTTGTTCCTGTAAAGATACGTGAAAAGATGGAGGTGAAGGGCTATGATCCATGGCACTTAAATTAGAGGAAATCTTTCTTCACTGTAATTGCTTTGGATTGGAGCTTGCATAGTAAATCTATCCTGGATCCTTTCTTAGTGAGCAAAGTATGTAATATTGCTCACTTTCAGAGCTCTTGCAGTATGTAGATAATATTTTAAGTAATTTCACATCATACTTAGGCTCTGTCTGATCTTGTTTGGCAGGTCTGTGTTCAGTGTATTGCATGAGCAGGACACAAAAAAGACATTGTACACTGAACTATCAAGTTCAAATGTGAGACCATGACCCTTCTGGGATCACCTGTCAGCTATGAAAGACAGAACACAAGAATCCAGTCCTTAATTTACCCTTGCTTTGTGAATCTGGAGCAGCAGATTCACACAGCCAGTAACATGTCCTGCTGCTGTAAATCTGGGAACCTTTGAATCAACAGCAGTGAAAGCCGGGAGACAGCTCAGACCCTGTTGTGCTGAGATCTACAAACCCCAGGACAGGCTGGGGAGGCAGGAGAAGGGCTGAGAACTGTGCAGACTTTCACCAGCAGCACGGAGCAGAGGCTTTGCTGCGAGGGGAGCAGCAGGTGCTGAACCCTGGGGCACTGATGGGTCTGGAGGGGCCTGCTCAGCTCCCCCTGGGCACATTTAACAAGCCCAGCCCTGCTCAGCCCTCAGCTGAGCTCCTTGTGCTGTCCTGTCCTTCAGGGAGCCACTGGCGCCTGCTGTGCCCCGACAGGAACAACTTCACTGCTGTCTCCTGTGTGCTGCCCAAGACCAAGCTGCCCACAGGATGAAGAGGGATGGATTGCACTGCCAGAAAAGGGATCTGGGGGTGTAGAAAGCTCAGGTGAAGAAGGTGAAAGGTTTTTCTCCCAGAGCCTTCAAACAAGGAGCTGCTCCAGAGGCACCCAGCAGTGTGGCCCAGGGCACTGCCTGCAGGTGGGCTCTCACTCATGGTGTGAGCCCACAGTGCCAGCTCTCAGACTGCTGCTTTGTACCTTTGTTGCTGTTTTGTACCAGTGTGACACTGTTGTGTCCTAAAAAAGTTGCAAGACAGAGTAGAGAGAGCGATCCCCTTGCCTTATTCCCTGTTGCCCACCTGAGGTTAACAGAGGGCAGAGGTAGCAGGGGAGTCAAGAAGAGATGTTGGGCAGCAAAAGCAGTGCCTGCCATCTCTGAAATGTTAATGACTCTTCCTGGAAATTGGCCCATCCCAACTATCTTTACCCAAATTAGAGTCTCTAAATAATGTATATTTGTATTTAGGCACTTCAGCAATTGAGTATTATTTTCCTAGCTGGTGGTTTAGCTGTTGTGCCATCTCCTCTAGCAGAGTGTATTTTTAGTGTGTTTAGTGCGTTTCTAAAAGCAGACACTTGATTTTGATGCTCTTTCTCTTCCCTACTTGGGTGCTTTGTAAGCAGCCTCACACAGATCAGTAACTTGTGCTGTTCAGCATACAGAAAGATGTCAGGATCTCATCCCCTGGGCTTGTTTGAGAGCCCTGTTCTGCAGAGGGGAGCTGAAACCCTGCCTGTAGCACCTGAGGGTGTGAGGGAGCAGGGCAGGACCTGTAGGACATGCTGTGAGTGGCTGAGGTCAAAGCAGCTGCCTGCCCCTCTAAGCTTTACCCTTCGGCTTGCTTTTTCCCTGAAGTGCAGCAGCTGTGAAGATTTACTGAAACTTTTAGTCCCTCTGCAGACCTCAGTAGGTTTATAAACCTATAGACCTCATCATCGGTATATAGAGCCACTTAGATAAGTTGGCTTCTTTGTGGTGGTGGTGTTTTTGTTTTTCTTTTGTGGAGGTTTTGTTGTTAGTTGTGGGTTGAGTTTTTATTTTGGTGGGTTTTTTTTTTTGGTTTTTTTTTTTTTGAGATCTTACGCTTACCCAAGACCCAGGAAGGAAAAAAAAAAAAAAAAAAGAAGTGCAAAAGTTGTTTTGAAGGATATTTGCAAAATGGATCTCGACAGATCTGAGTTTCCTTCCACAGTGACCAGGAGCTTCCCTTTCTGGTGGTGGGCACTTTAATATGCCCAGGTGTGAAGTGGATATAAAAACTACGATTTCAGCTAGTCTAAACTGATTTAAACTTCACAGTGCTTCACAGCAAGAGCCATTTCTCAGGGCTCTTTCTTGGCAGACAACTAAGCAGTAATTTAAAACCATTTTAATCTGAAATGAGAATCTCTACATGGGGTTTGAATGCACTTCAAGTGAAGTATGTATTTGCAACTTTTGTTGATCCCTCTTAATTTTCCAAGTGTCCCTGTAGAAACAAAGCATGTTTGTGTAGTGACAAAATGCAGTGATAGCTCAGACTTCTTGAGAGCCATAGGATAATAAAAGCAAAAGTACTAAGGGAGAGGTATATTTGGCATCACCCTGGGATGTAGCTGATTAACCTTTCTTTCCTACGAAAAATATAGACACTGATCAACATAACCTCCTGTCTTCCCTCCCCACGAACAGCCTGAAATTCTATCCTAAGAACAGAGTGTTTCTGGAGGAAAGATGAAGATGATTTATTTTTGTTGAAAAAGTAAATAAAAAATTTAGAATGCTGTGCCCAGCTTCTGCCAAAAGCAGTTTTGTAGGATTGCTTTGACATTCATGTGGTCACGCTGAAAGCTATTCTGTGGCAGCTGAGCTGCAGGAACTGACCACAGGTACTTAGCTGTCCCCAGTTGCAGAGTAAAATGTGTTTGCTTAAACCATCTTTCTCACT